TGCAAGCCCTCATCACCTCAAGCCTGAATTATTGCAATAGCCTGCTGGTGGGTCTTCCTGCCTCAAGTCTTTCCCCACTCTGATTCATTCTCCTTTCAGCCAGTAAAATGATTTTTCTAAAGTGAAGTTCCAACCATGTCACCCCCTAAATTCCAGTGGCTTCCTATTGCCTCCAAGATCAAATACAAAATTCTCTGGAGTTCAAAGCCCTACATAATTTAACACTTCCCAATTACTTTTCTAGTCTTCTTACATATTACACCCCACTAGGTATTCTTCTTTTTGATCCATTGATGCTGGCTTCCTTGCTGTTCCCCAAATAAGATTTTCCATCTCTTGACTTCCGGACATTTTCTCTGGTTGACTCCCATCCCTGGAATGCTCTTCCTCTTCTGCTCCTATAGGTTTCCTTTAAGTCCCAAATAAAATCCCACCTTCTACAGGAAGGCTTCCCCAACCCTTCTTAATTCTAGTACCTCCTCTCGGTTGATTATTTCCTAGTTATCTTGTATATAGCTTGTTTGTTTTTATTTCTTTGCCTGTCATCATGATTCCAGGAAACATCTTCACCAGTAAACTCACCACCCTAGGAAATTACATCGGTTTTGGTATTCACACCTTTTCAGTAGCTTCACTACTCTCTGTTTCTCTAATTGGAGAGCAGGAGGGTGGAGTAAAGAACTCTTCCACCCAAAGCTTCCATTTTACTTTTCATTTCCTATCCCCTTTGCTCCTTGGCTTCTTGGGTCCACCAGTCAAACCTTCTTTCTCACCCTTCCTCCCATCTTGCTTTTCAGCTTTTTCTCATGGATACCTTCTCCCATTAGATTGTAAATTCCTTGAGGGTAGGGACTGTCTTTGTTATTTGTAATCCCAGAATTTAGCATAGACCTTGGCACTTGCTGGTGCTTAATAAATGTTTAGTGCTTGACCATCCTTAAGGACAAGGACTGTCTCTTGCCTTTTTTGAATCCCCAGGTCCTGAAACATAGTAAATTTTTAAAATACGTTCATTGACTGACCTTTCATTTTGTTCAGTCATATCAACTCTTCTGATCCCATTTGGTGCTTTCTCGGCAAAAATGCCATTTCCTTTCCAGCTCATTTTATAGGTGAGGAAACCGAGGTATATAGGGTTAAGTGACTTGCCCAGGGTCACACAGCTAGTAAGTATCTGAAGTCAGATTTGAACTCAAGGAGATACATTTTCCCTACTCCAGGCCCAGTACTTTATTCAGTGTGCCACCTAGCTGCCTGGTTCTTTCATTTATGCTGTTGTTAACACGTTTATTGTTTTTTTGGTTTTGCTTACTTCTCTATGCATCAGTTCATATGAATCGTATCACGCTTTTCTGTAACTTCCATTTGTTACATTCATGTATCACAGTAGCCATTCCCCAATTGATGGTACCTACTTTATTTGGAGGAATTACTTCTAACTTGTGGGATAAGGATCATGGAGGAGGTGTCATTTGAAATACACATGAAAAGAAGAGAAGGATTTCAATAGGTAGAGAGAGATGTGGAAAGTGCCTACTCCGTTTAGGGAAACAATATAGTGAACTATAGAATGATGATCAGTAGTTCATTTTGGCTGGAAGATTGTATATCATACAACAAGCCTGGGAAGGTATAGAGCCAGATTATAGAAGACCTTAAGCATCAAGCTATGGAGTTTGTGTTATTTTGTAAACAATGGGGCACACTCAAAGGTTTTGAGAACAGGAGGGATGTCATCAGAACTACACATTAGGAATATTACTTTGGCTGTGGAGTATTGGATAGAACTGAGCAGAGGAAGACCAAAAGAAGAAAGCTAGTTGAGTTTATTTCATCTTCTAGGTGAAATTCTTGATCTTTCATTCCTCCAGATACAATTTCAAAATTATTTTTTCTTGTTCTACAAAGTAATCCTTTGGTAATTTGATTGTATGGTACTAAGTAAATTAATTTAGGTAGTACTGTCATGTAATATTTTTTTTTCTCCTCAGGAGGTGGAGGTACAGAAAATAAATGCTTGTTAATTGAAAAAAATATTTTTTAAAAGTCTATTTCAATAGTTTAGGTGAAAGGTAATTAAGAGTCTGAATGAGGTACTGGCAATGTTAGCTGAAAGGAGAACAGAATTTGGAGAAGTAATGCTGAAGTATCAAAATGATAGATTGTAGGGGCTGAGGGAGAAGGAGCAATAATAGATATGGAAACCAGGGTGACCGACATCCAGCTAGTGGGGCCATCAGAAGAAATTGGTGGATTAGTATGAGGATCAGGCTTTTTGGGGAAAGATGTGAAACGTTTAGAGTGTGGTATTGGCTGGACATTTAGGTAGAGATGTTGCTGGTGGTCTGAAATTTGGGACTGGAGCTTGGTTAGGTCTGGCGATGCAGATTCGGGACTCATCTGAATAGAGGTGACAAAGGAAGCCACAGGAGTGGATGAGTTTGCCAAGGGAGGGTATATAGAGAGAATTAAAGAAGGTTGAAGATGCTGCTTGAGGAGCATAGGAACATAGATAGAGCTATACAGGAGAATGGGTGAGGCAGTTAGCTTTCTTGAACTTCACTCTGTACATGTGTGAAATGATGATGATGAAGAAGATAGTAATAATATTATATTAATACTAATAATATGACATAGTGGAGACTTGCAGTCTAGGTTCAAGTTCTGGTCCTGACATTTATTAGCTGTGTGACTATGGGCAATCTCTTAACCTCAGGTAATTCATTAAGACCATTTATAAAAAAATAGATTTTTATTAATATCTCCTGCTTTTATAATTCCTGGCTTTCCCCCTATGTCCCTATATCCCACTATCCCTAGAGAGTTATCCCTCATAACACATAATTTTTCTTAAAGGGAAAAGAAAAAAACCTAGCAAAACCGATTAACACGATGAAAAAATCTGATGTTACATCAATGTTCCACATCTATGTATCCCAACTTCTGCAAAGGAATGCATGGTGAGGGAAGTATCCTTTTTTGTTTTTTAGTCTCTTCTTTGGAGGCAGTTTTGATTAATTTGTGGTTGTTCCTTCACTTATATTATTGTAGCCATTATGTATATATTTTTTCCTGGCTCTGAAGTCTTCACTTTGCATCAGTCCATTGAAATCTCTCCATGCTTCTCTGTATTCATCATGTCTGTTGTTTCTTACAGCAGAGTAACATTCCATTGCATTCATATACTACAATTTGACTAGTCATTCCCCAACTGAAGGGCATCTACTTTGTTTCCAGTTTTTTGTTGCAAAGGAAAAATGTGATTATAAATATTCTGATGTGTGTGTGTGTGTGTGTGTGTGTGTGTGTGTGTGTGTAGCTTTTCTTTTTTTTGTCAATGACCTTCCTTGGGGTTCATGCCTAGCAATGGAATCCCCTAGGTTATCCTTAATGTAATATTTGCCACCTACCTATATGATGGGGTTGTTTTAAAGAAGGTACTTATTCGTGTTAAGTACTGTAAATATGAGTTATTACAATCAGAAAAGGTGAAGGACAAGGAACAGATGAGGCAGAAGAAACGGGAGAGACCAACGTCAATCCAGAGAAGACAGAGTGTCAAGGAGCCAGGGGTCAACAGGTCAGCTGCGTCACCTGTTGAGGAGAGATTAAGGAAGATGAGGAAAGAGAAAAGGTCATTGGGCTTGGCTGTTGGCCATTAGCAGCTTTGGAGAGAGAGGTTTCAGTAGGGTGGTGGGGACAGAAGCCAAATCATATTTTTTCTAAAACAGGAAAAGAAATAGTTATTTTGAGCAGACAATTAGGTAAGGAATGTAGGGGTTCTTTTGTTTTTGAGGCTTTGGGAGAACTGAACATGGTGGTTAAGTAAGAAAAGGAGTCAAAACAGAAGAGTTTGAAATTGAATGAAGGAGAGGATCATGGGCACTGATTACCATTGCCAAGGAAAAGTATTACTTTATCCTATTAGGCAACTAGCTAACCAGTGTACTGAATATACAGAAAAATATTTTTGCTATGCCTTGTCTTCTAAGAGTATATTAAATTGGTTAATTTGTCCAAGATAAGTGTCCAGAAATTTGAGAGAGGGGTCAGTGCATTTCTAGTAGGGAAACAGAGGTGGGTGTAATCAGCATAAAATGGTCAAATTGTGAAATCATACTGGTTAAGTGGGAGTGTAATGTGGTAATGATATGTTTCATATACCCAGCGCCTTTGGTCTAGGAACCTCAAAGTATTTTGCAAACATTAACTATGCATCACAATACGTGTGAGGGGCAGGTGATTTTTTTAATCCCCATTTTATTGGGGCAAGGGAAGAAGGTTAGATCACACTATTATGACAACTGCTGCCCCATCTGGAACTGGACTCTGCAATCCAGCCCAGTTTCTCAGCACGCCCCTCCCCCATCCAATCCTCCCACTGGTCCTTTTCAGAGGTGAGCACATGGCTGTGACTCAACCCGGTGGCACTAAGGGATGAGGGTACAGCTGGGCGGTTCGCCCTGCTAGCCAGTGAGCTTTAAGTGGCCATCAGATCCAGTGGCACGGCCTGCAGCTCTCCTCGCGCCTCCTTTCCGAATGACCTCATTGCGGCCAGTAAAGGCGGGCACTTGCGGATGCATGGAATTGTTTGGAATGGAGGTGGCGCGCAGGCCATGGGGACAGGCGTGGGAGCAGGACGCGGGGCACGCTCTACGGCTGTCCGCACGCAGGTGGCGGGGACGTCCGTCGGGGCACCCCGCTGAGCCTGAACTCAATCTGGCCTTTTTTTCCCCTTTTTTCTTCTTTTTTGCAGATAGCACAGCACCCGATAGGACACACGGGCGGGCTCAATTCTCCCACTTTGACGTTTTCGCGCCGCGCGCTTCCCGCGCTCTCGGCTCTCTCCCAGGCAGACTCAGACACACCAACACATGCAAGCACGCACACCGAGTCCTCCGCGGGAGCCCAGCGCGGGGGCGGAGCAGAACTGGCGGGAGCGAGGGAGGGAGCGAGCCAAAGGCGCGAAAAAGCCGCGCAGGCGCGCCCGGCTCCCCGAGGCGGAGCGCGCGGGGGTGAAACTGACACTTTGGGCCAGTCTCTATGGGGCCGCTCGTGGCCGCACGTCACCGCGTTGCCGGCACGTCACGCCGGCTTGACGCTCCCAGTACAAAGTGTAAGTTTCAATTTTTTTTTATCCCCCCTTGGCCAACTCTCCCAATATTGTGGGGAGAAGTGGGAGCGAAGTCGGGGGGGAGGGGGGGAAGGGGAAAGCGAGTCCGGTCCCCGACTGCCGGGATCTACTCCCCTCCCCCGTGATCTCTCCCCTCCTTGGGTGCGCGGGGGCTGCAACGGCGGGGCCGTGAGCTGCCCCGCTCCCCATCTCCACCTCCCCCCCCACCTCCAACCCGCCTTCCCCCCCGCGGCGCGGGCGCCAGGACCCGGGCGAGCCAGGTGTGGGGCACGGTGCCGGCCTCGCGGGGTGGGGGCGCGTGTGCCTGTCCACGCGGGGCCCTTGATGGGGGGGGCTTGCAGCCTGGGATGGGGGTTGGGGTGCAAGGATGCAGCTAGGTTTGGAGCCACATGCTAGAGGATGGCGGGGGTCCTTCTGGAGCCCGGGAAGGATGGAGCTGGGGGATGGTGGAGGTCAGCTGGAGACTTGAGTGTGTGTGGGGGGTTAGTTGCAGAGTTAGTGCTGGCCTGGGATGGGGGGGCGGTCAGGGAGCGGAGGCTGGCCAGCAAGGCCAGCCGCGGGGGATGGGGAACCCGTGCGGCCGGTCTGATCCCCTGGGCGGGCCCCCCTCTGCCCTGCCCCCCCGCCTCGCCTCGCCTGTGTGTGGGCGCCGTGCACACGGCTTGGTGTCTCCTCGGGTCTCCTTTCCTGGTGCTGTGTGTGTGTATGTATGTATGTGTGTGTGTGTGTGCGTGTTTGTGTGTTGCACATGTGCAGTGGGTAAACCTTGCCTTCCCCCCCTTTCCCATCCTCGTACCCCCCCCACCCCACGCTGCTGCTCCTCTTCATTGTAGCCGCTGCAGTTGGTGGTGGGCTCCGGCGCTCCGCTGCGCTCCTGGCCTGGCTTGGGGGGGAGGGCACGGAGGGGAGGAAGACGCCTTCAGGTGAACTGACCCCCGGCTTGAGATGTGGGGTTCCAGGGAGGAGGGAGAAGACAAGAAGGGGTCAGCGTGGATGGAGGTTCTGGGGTGCTCACCCCTTTTCTGCCTTTGCAGAAGGGGAAGGGTCCCTAGGATGGAACGTAGGAAGGTGGGAGGAAATCCACAGCTGGTGGAGGGGTGGTAGGCCGCTTTCCAGCCCCCCCATCACCCCATCATCATCGCTGTGCCTCCTTTGGGGAGCGGGGTCCGACGGGGGAGGGTCACGATGGCGCCTGTTGCCAGGGTGGTGCCCGGGTCTGGAGGGGAGGGTTGGGGGGGGAGGTACAGGCCGGCGAGGCCGGGCAGGCGGGCGGGCGGCTGAGCTGCAGCTGCAGCTGCTGCTTGTGTCTGTCCGTGGGGCCTGGGACGCGCCACCAGCTCCCTGAGCCCCAACGGCCTGGAGCTGCTTCGGCCTGCTCCAGCCAGCTCCCTGCGGGACACCCCGGGAGGGTAGGGGGCTGGGGGCAGCCCCTCTGCCAGCCTGGGTGCTGAAATAGCACAGTAGGGTGGAGAGCTCACTGCTGAGTTCCGGTGCTGGGGGTGGGGAGTGGGGGGAGCTCTCCCTCCTCGGACTGCAGTTCCCGAGGCCTAGTGACAGGTCAGGAAGATCTAGATCCCAGATGGACATGGGGCGTATGGAGTGGATCCTGGACTGGGTCTTGCTTTGTGGCCTGGAGCAGTTACTTTAACCTTAGAGCTCCCTTGGAAACACACCTGTCAGAGTTAACAGCATGCTCAGGGCTGGGCCAATGGAGCTGGTGACTGTGACTAGAGTAGGGGCAAGGTCCCCCCAGTCTTCCCTTCCACCTTTCAGTGTTGTTTTTTTTTTGGAGGGGGGGCTAGAGGAATTACATATCTGTCTTGTGCATTTTTGTACTGGCATTATAAAGATGGATTGAGCCCATTCTGGATGCATATGTATGGGATATAGGTTAGCATGTATGTGCATGGGTGAGGGTTAGAGGGTTTGCTGTTATCCATCATATCCTCTCCTGGGAGAGGGGGTCTTATATGCATCATCGTCTTGTTCTGGATATCTGTAGAAATGGTTATATTTATTACACTGTGTCAGTGGTTTGGAGTGGGGTAAAGCTTGAGGTATTTATTGTTAGTAGTTTAGTGGAATAATATTTGTCTATTACATGTCATTAGTCCCCCTAAATTCTTTTTGAAAGAAGTAGCCCAGTTGCTTTTGTAGATTCCTTTCTGGATTGAATACATGTATGCATATGTAAGGGGGAGGAGGTTCCTGATATCCCAAAGTACATTTTACTTTGGAGGGAGTGCATTGATTTTGCAGGGAGAAATGTATCAGTTTAGACTTAAGATACAATATTTTGCCAACCATTATCTTTCACTGAATTTATGTCTTATTTTGCCCTTTTATTTACTAGAAGATTATTGTTTCTTCTCTGGAGAGTGAACGTCTAAAGAATTGATTTCAAGGATCTGGTAACATGGCAAAAGATGTAAGTATATTTGCTTAATGTTAAATATAAATGTAATGTTAATGCTTAGCTTTTTGGTCATAAGTAAAAAAATGATGGTGAATTTTATATGTTTGTTAACTTATTTTAGTTTGACAATAGGTAAATTACATCAGCTTGTTTTTAAGACTTTCAAAACATGAGGAAAACATTATTGAGTCTTAGGGATCTTGACAACTGCATACACGCATGTTTCTGCATTTGTGCTTATTGCTTTAATGTACTCTTAATGATAACTTTAAGTGGTGTTTGTCATTATTTTCACTTTATGACTTAAGATTTTTGGGTCCTGTTAAATCTGTTAATTGGAATTCTTTCTTTCTAGCAAGAGATAGGTAACTTTAATGACTGACAATTTTGGGGATTATATCAAGTATAAAAATCAGTGAAAATTTTTAGAAAGACTGCTCTTATTAGTTTGATACAAAATTGAGTAAATTAAACACTTTAATCAATAGAAATTAGGCTAGTAAGATAGCATTTTTAAGGTTTGATCTTCACCACAATCCTCTGATACTACTGGTACTACTGATATCCCCAATATCTGCTCTTATAGGTTAACATGGTCACGTAGGTAGTAGGAATTGGACTTGGGATTGGAAGCCAAATCTTACAGCCTCCCAACTTCATCACCATCCTCTAGCCAAAATTCCTCTCTTTTATATAGTATAAAGTGTTATATTCTCATTTTTGTTACCTTATTTTCTCCTCCTGAGGGATGAATTTGGATAGAGAGCTGGCCTTTGAGCCTGGAAGACCTGGGTTCAAGTCTTAACACTGGCATACGTAGGCTGAGTAGTCCTGGGTAAGTCAGGCAACCTCTCTGGGTTTGAGACACCTTTTTATGACTGTCAGTTTCCAAGAAGATGCCAACCTGCATTGGTAAAAGGAGTTTTTTTTGTTCAGTAGTTCCCTCGATTAATGAGCTGGGATCTGTTCCTATCCTATTCTTTCCACCTAACCTGCCCCTCCAAACGAAAGGCATTGTGTTTATTGAATCTTATATTCATGGAAGGATGCCAGATATTTATCTAGATTCCATTTTTATCATGAAACATTTTTGTGTATTGTTTTTCTATCTTACTACTTGGTATCATAAATCATTGGATCATAGATCTGGAATAGAAGGGACCAAATAGTCATCTAGTTCAGTGCTCATTTTATAGATGAAGAAACTGAGGCGGTAAGTGATTTGTCCAAGGACACATAGATAGTACACTTCACTAATGTCCTCTGATTCCATAGTGGGTACTTTGCTCTCTACTTGGCACATGAAGACGTTATATTTTCAGTCCTAAAAATGGCTATTTCATTAATCACCTTACTTCCTAAGGTCATCATCATAAGTATTTTTATCAAATCTGGTCCATGGTATTATATAGTTGGTGTCTGGGCAAAGACTTTATACAGTTAGAACACAGTCAGAAGCTGGTTATAATACAGCTTATGTGACCCTGCATTGTATCATTGGATAAGTTTTCTTCCTCTTAATATAACAGATGTAAAAATATTCAAAATAGTTGTATTTTGTTGCAGAGTTTTTAATTATCCCAAATATTTTGATTTATTAAAAGTGCTTTAGTAAAGAAATATTTGATTACCTACAGGGTGAACGGAACCATGATTGAGCATTGTGGGATATTGAAAGATACACATTTCCGTGACCTTGAGAAACTTACATACAAGTTGGGATAAGACATGTGCAGGATACCAAAGAAATATCCCATGTGATCTAGATATGTATTAACTAATTTATTCCTTTTCTTACCCTTTATATAGTCTTTCAAGGATGCCAGTTATAAACTAGACTACACTAACAAATTCATGTTGTAAATCTTTTGGAATTTTGGGAGGCAAAAGGCTCTTGATCAAAACAATCTTTATGTAAAAACCTCCTTTCCTCTTTGCTTAAAGGGGAAAAAAGTCCCATGTTCTATAATTCTTCATCTCTTCTAAAGCTTCTCTTTATCTATTTGCTGTCTCAGGTACAGATGAGGCACGTAAGTTTTGGCAGTGCCCAGCTGTCTTATATCTGAGGCACTGTGGTGTATTGGGAAGTACTGGATATGGGTCCATCTGCTGCTTACCTGTGTGACCTCGAGTCATTCTTATGTTTCTGGGCCTCAACTTCCCTCGTTTGGAAAATGAATGTGTCAGACTAATTGGTCTCTTAAGTTGCTTTCAGCTTTAAATCCTATGATCCCTATGAACAAAGTAAAAATTCCCAGCAAGGAATCCTAACCTGTGTAATTCAGTTGGGAATGTGACTATCCTAGTTATGGCATCGTGGCCTCAGCCTTCTTTACCTATCTCTGCATTTTTAAAGCTGCCTCGATAGAGGCAACACAAGTGGCTTTTTTTTTTTGTTAGTGTATGTTTTCCAGATATGTGTAAAGAACTATCTTCAGAGGCATATTGCTAAAAAAAACCAAAAACTTTTTTCAGGCTGTAGATACAGTGTAATTCAGTTCATTTAGTACAATAGCAGAATAATGAGTAGTGGCTTTTTAGGACTGTATTCTAAAATTGCCATATCCTTCACTACTCTCTTGCTTAGATCCATTTCATCACCATTAAATGCTTAAAAAAAAAAAGCTGTGCTAGAAGAAGTTTCCCTTACTGAGCACCTGCTATAGGTAAGTTACTAGACATGTGGCACTGCAAGGAGTAGAAAGATGAATTTGATGAAGTCCTGGTTCTCAAGGAGTTCATGTTCTAGTAGGGAAGATAATGTATACAAATTACTATTGCCTTTTGTCGTTATTAGCACCGTGAAAACACAGGAAGCCAAATGATGTTACGGAAGGCCTGGAGGAAGACTCTGCTGAGACTTAAACATAAGCTTGGATAGTTGCTGACCATTTGATTTGAGTTTTTAGCGTTTGGTTAAATGACGTTATAGAGATATTTTGTGAGGTTACAGTGAAGTTGGTTTAAATATACTGGTGACGTTATTGTACAAGAATGTGGGTTAAAGCACCATTATATATGCACTTATCACATTTTACCTTATACAGCTATAACCTGGGTAAGAGGTGCTAAGTACCATAAGATGTAAGGGGAATTTCTTTGTTGTAAGTGGTGGTTTGTTGGAAGGAAGTTGGAGGTGGGGAGGAATAGTATTTATAGGGGGAAATTTAGATGACTTAAAAACAAAACATATCAACAAAAATTTTTTTAGAAAGGCTTACAGTGAGGGAGACGTAATACCTAATTTGTGGGATTTGTGGAAGACTTAATGGGTGACATTTGAACTAGGCCTCGAGGTAGGCAGACTTTTAGTAGATGGATGTGGGTGGGGAAGGTCATTCCAGGTGTAGGGGATAATGCACACAAAACATGGAAGAACACATAAGCATGAGATATGTTTGGGGAACAGCTAATGTCCAGTTGCCTGGAGTATAGCAGAGTAATGTGATAGAAGGTTGGAAAGGATGAGTTGAGGCCAGACCATCAGGTGACTTGCATGCCAACCTAAGGAGTTTAGTTTTTTCAGTAGGCATCAGAGGGTGACATCAAAGCAGTGCTTTAGAAAGATTAATCTGGTTCCAGTTGGCAGCATGGATAAGTGTAGGGGAGAGATAGAAGGAAGGAAGATCAAGTAAGAGGCTATTAGAACAGTTCAGATGAGAAGAAATAAAGGCAGTGCTAGTGTGAGTTCAAAAGAAGTGGAGGATGCAGGCCATGGTGTGGATTTGATAGGATTTGTGTACTGATTAGATGTAGCATTCCAGCTCCAGGAAGAAGTAAATGGGACATAGTTCAGCCATTAATAGAAATGGGGAAAGAGGGAAGAGCTGGATTTGGGAGGAAGATGACAAGTTCAGTGTTCAAAGTGATGATTTTGAGGTGCTGGTGGGACATCCAAATAGAGATGTCCAACAGGCTATTGGAAATGGACAGGTCTAGAACTCAGGATAACTGGAGATAGTGTTAAAGTTATATTTGGGTATTACATGTGTAGAAGCAGTAACTGAAGTTGCCTGAGATGGCATGAGATCTCCAAGGCAAAGAATATAGAGAAAATCAGAGAAGTGGCACAGGGACTGAACCTTGAGCAGCACCTACAGTTAGAGGTCAGGGGCACCCTAGATGATTATAGATCTAGAGCTGAAAGGGACTGCAGAGGCTCTTTAGCCTTCAGACCTCACACTTTACAGATAAGGAAACTGAGACAGGCACAGGTTAAGTGACTTGCTCAGAGTCATAGGGCTAGCAAGAGTCAGAGGCAGTATAAATCTGAGGTCTCTGACTGCACACTCAGCCAGCTCCGTTTAGGTATCGTGCTCTTTGGTGAGGTGAAGATTTGAATTAACTGATCAACAGATGTTTTAAGTGCCTACAGTGGGTCAAGGAGTAGTGCTAGGTACTGCAATTCAGAGACACAGAGTAGTCATGGAATAGACGACTTGGTCTTTGCTCAGTCATCCCATGAGTTTGTTAAATTATATATCTGTATGTAAACTATCCACTTAAATTACACATATGTCTTAATTTATTTATGCTGTTCCCTGTGTCATTATTAGAAGCAGTTGACTACTCTAAGGACTGAAATTAATTTTAAAAAGGTTTTTTAGATACCAAGGACCTACTATGGCTAAAGTTAACTATTTAAGGTGTTCAAAGGTTCCTATAGTAGTTTGTCATGAAGAAAGATGTCTATGGTGGCTATGAGATTTCAAAAGTAAAAGCCCTGTCCTGCCTGTAGCAGATGGAGAAATACTATTGTAACTACCATTGTGAACTGGTTAGAGTTTGATGGTCTTTATTGTGAAGGCATCTATTTCCTTACCATTAGTGATGGGTTCCAAAGTGTCAGGAAGATTATGTTCTTGAGCTTTTGAAATGGTGAATGCAAAGGATCTTAAAAGAAAGGTGAAGCAGGTGTTCCCTCAGTGCTTTATAGCATTTATGTTTTTTGCCAAGGAACCATGAAAAGGTAGTGATTTGAAATGAAAACATTAGCTCTTTCCTTTCCTTGG